CCGTCGGAGATGGGCGGGCGGGGAGGCTGCCGGAGCGCCCTCGGACAGATAACATCCATTTCCTTCCTTCCTCTCCCTATCGACCTCATCCCCACCGCGATGGCGTTTAAACTCTTGCAAGATCCTCTAGCTTAGCACGTTTCGACCACTCTCGCACATCTGATTTCCTTCAGATTCAATCACGGCTGGAATAGGCAGAGCAGACAGGCTTTAGACCAGGGAACAGTTAATATGTCCCAGATTTAACGTAAAGATAAACTAACTCCACAGCACTCTTTGTCGGTGACAGGCATTAGGCGTTTGCTGCTCTCCTATCGATTCAGAGCGACAGCCACTGCAGGGGAAATTTTTTTTTCGTAGTGATGAATTTTTCTCAGACAAATTGCCGTCTCTTCCAATGTGGAGAGAGTTAGTGCTCCTGCGGCTGTTTCGTTTGGTTTTGGTTTTTTTTCTTTAATCAATTCTCTCTCTGTCACATACCTATATTTCCACTTCTGGAAAGCACTTCTACAATTTTAACGCTGATAACCTTATTTGAAGGGATCATTTATCTCTAGGGTATATTTATTAATCAGCCCCTTCCTCAGACTCTCTGACGAAGCAGCTATTGAAAGTAGGCATTTTAGGCATTTTAGGGATAGGTAAGATGCGACAGTGGAAACGGTTACGTCTCCTAAATGGCAGCTATTTCCTTTTTAGATTACGATCAGAAATCTCAGCGGTGCCACTCGACGGCCCGAACAGGACCTCTGGGGCTGTAACACAGACGAACCACACCACGAATTTGTCTCTCTCTGTTGTCCAAAACAGCGAAGTGAAGCTGAGATCCTATTCCCCGAAACCGTGAAATTTGCCCCATGATTTTTTTACAGGAGGATTTCTATTCTGTTCCCTTCAACGGAGCATGCCACCAAAAAAATGGGGGGTGGGGGGGGAAATCTCCCAATAAGAGAAAAAGAAAGGAAAACACACCAAAAATCTCAATAGCTTTTTCATTTCCCTGGGCATGCAAAGAAAAGAATATCTGGCTCCAAGTGTTTAATGTTTTTACTCAGTGGAAAGATACGAAAGGATTTTCTCCGTAACTATTCTATGCACCTGAATATGATTATTATTAAAGTTGCTGCAGCTGGATGCGTTGATGTTCATACAAGGTTCGGTTTAACTCTCTTTTTATTGCAGCTTCAGCGCCTAATGGGTTGGGTCTAAAGGGGGCTATGGATGCTGCGCCGAAACCCCTCCGCAGGCAGCGTTTGAACAACAACGCCACGAATCGCCTACTGCAACAGCTGAATAATACTAATAATTACTAATCCCTAACAGCAAGAAAGGGCACAACGTCATTTTTTTTTGAAGTCCGAACGGTTTTCCCGAGCGAAACGCAGCTCCCCGGGAGGGCCCCCCATCCCTCTGCGTTTCGGAGGGAGCTGGGGCTCCCGGCCAGCCCGGTCCCCGCGGGGGGAGATGCGATGGGGAGGGGGGGGGTCGCCTCATTAAGGTTTATTGCGGGGTGGGTCTGCCGCGCGGCGGGGGGGGCGCGGGGGCGTTTCGGCCCCG